ACTTCTGGCACTTTTTTGGCGTGTATTGGAAGGGCACTTACTACTTTGCAGTTCGGCTCACCTTCGGCTGACGAAGTAGCCCCAAGATTTTTGATTCACTGTCCGAAGCTCTTTGYTGGATCCTTCTTAATAATTTCAGGCTCCCTTACGTTCTCCACCTTCTGGATTACTTTCTTATCATCACCCCTCACTCCTCTTCACCTTGCTCAGGGCTCTGTGCTCTTACCCATGCCTTTTTCAGATCTAGGCGTTCCTCTTTCCGAAGAAAAGACAATCGGTCCTCTTACTTCATTGGAGTTTTTAGGCATCACCCTAAACTCCTCCTCCTTTCAGGCTTCCCTACCTCCCGAGAAGGTGCGTCACATCACCCTGATCCTTTCTAACTTCATGCTCATAGATTCCTGCACCAAACATCAGCTGTTGTCTCTTCTCGGCCACCTAAATTATGCCATCTGCATCATCCCCCAGGGGAAATCTTTCATTTCCCATCTTTTATCCACCTCTGCCAGCGTCTCATCCCTCCGTGGCCGTCTTACCCCTTGACAATGACTGCAGGATGGAAATGAAGCTCTGGCACCATTTTCTGTCTTCCTGGGACTGCATCTCTTTCTTTTACGATGATTTCATCTCCCATCCAGACGACATTCAGCTCTACACAGATGCCGCTCCCTCCATTGGGTTTGGCGGTTTTCACAAAGGCAGATGGTTTGCCTCCACTTGGCCCTCGGAGGTTGACTCCCTGCAACCAGATTCGGCCTCTCCCTCTTCTGCTTTGTATGAGCTGTATCCCGTTGTCATCGCAGCTCTCCTTTGGGGGCACGAATGGTCCCAGCATTGCATCCTCATCCATTCCGATAACACAGCTGTAGTCAAAATAATTAACAAAGGTYGTTCTCATTCCTTAGCCATCATGCAACTCATGCGCAGACTTACACTAGTTTCAGCTCAGCATCAGTTTCTGCTCAGGGCMGCTCACATTCCAGGCTATCATAACCACATTGCTGACACGCTCTCTCATTTCTCCTTCCAGAAATTCAGGTCGTTGGCACCTACAGCAGACCCTCATCCGACACCGGTCCCTCCATTTTCAGCCACAGTCTTCAAC